AAAAATAGGCATTTTAACTGTGAGGAGGGTTGCCACTCCACAGATCTGACCTGTAACTTGGTCTGGTTTAGTCTCCATGGTGATAGAAAGGTTTAAAGTCACACTATGAAACATTTCTGACAAAGCAATAAGTATTTGGCAGACCCTCCACCAGAAAATGTACACAGTGCACCTTGTAAAGCCTGAGATACTTAACTTTTTTCTCATGGAATGAATTAAATCTGTTTACCCTCAGATTACAAAGCAGAAGATTGTAACAGAAATCAGACAGATAGAGGCTTGAGTCTTCATCAAATTAGAAAGTATTGAGTTTATTGCAAATCTGAGCCATGAGACAAATAATGACGCTGTATGACACTTTGGGATGAAAGCTGATTGGCTGTTTAAGGTTAGTCCAGTCAGTTTCACTTTTCTATCTAAAAGGCTGTTTTAAAGCTGTGCTAGTTACCAAATATTTCTTGCATGTCAATACTAATGATGTAGCAAAAAGTTTGTAAAAGCTAAAAACAAATTTTAGATTTACATTCTTCATTTTTTTTGAAAATGAGATACCCCAGCTTTAAGGTTGGTTTCTTGTAGGGCTTTAGGACTTCATGCGTTTAGTCAATTCATTGGTCGATCTTAATCAACCAAAATTTTTATTTATGCAGGGTAGCCGCGGGGTCTTAAAAGTCTTAAAAAGGTCTTAAATTTCATGTTCCTAAATTAAGGCCTTAAAAAGTCTTAAAATTCTGTTGTCCAAGTCCAAGTCAAGTTGTCCAATGTATTTTTTTCACAAAGGTCTTAAATTTCATTAGCGTATTTTTTTGTAAACTCAACCAGGAGCAGTGCAATGTTAAATGGAAGGAGGGACAAAAAAACTAAGTGAAATAATGTAATGTGAATGAACGTCTAATTTGGAGCGTGCGCAAACAATACTTTGGTTTTTGGCGGCAACGAGTAAACAATCAGTTCCGTCTACACTGCCCAAGACGCAAAACTCTGGTCTGATGTGCTCACGTCAGGTTTACGTCACATACATCACCACCGAGCGTCACCGAGCCGCCTGACATGCACCCAGTCGAATTCCAAACAGTTTTGCGTTACCGTAAACACGCAGATTTCCTCCTGAAAACACTCGTCTAAACGTGGAATAAAAAGTGAAAACACAACACCACTTTTGTGTTCTGTTCAGACCCTCATCATATAAACGTAACCTTAGATTCTAGATATTGTACCGGCATTTGGTTGGTCATTATTAGAATTGGATCTGGTGTTTTTCACCCACATAATGGGCGTGATGTTGGTCTTAATTTTCATTTAAGTGGTCTTTAAAAAGGTCTTTAAAAAGTCTTAAATTTGGGGCAGTCAAACCTGGGGATACCCTGTTATAGATTTAGCATTTTATTTAGATTTTAAGAAAGGAGAAGATAATGGCACATAGCACTTGTGCAACATACCCAAATTTCTGTTCATTTTTTTTTTTTTTGCCATAGTCAAAGTAATAATTTCAATTTAATTTGCCGTTTCCTTAAAGGCAAAAACAGACATGTCTTTAAAATTCAAGTGTTAAGGGGCTAAACTAAAGGTAAAATGTTGCTGTTAACATTAATACTACACAAACAAGATGTTAAGTGAGCTAGCTGAAGATTTGGCATTTTTTTGGAATAAATGTATGTAAAACGTCAGATTAAACTAGCTGTTTTTCCATGAACTTCAAACTTCAGGTGCAGCATGGCTCAGATACGTTTTAGAGTTTCTGCCACACCCCTTTTTTGGTCAAGAATTTTTGTCAACTACAGCCTTAGTTTCTTATTATACTTGACTTTTCTCTATCCAAAGTAATTGTTTCACATTTTTGTTTATTTATTTTTTACACATTCTGATTTAAGTGCTCCCTTTTGTTTTGGCAGAAGATCCATCACCTTCTTGTCTCCATGGAGATAAAAATAAAATAAAATAAAATAAAAATTAAATATGTATATGTGATTGTAATAAAGTACACAATGTTTTCTGGCACCTAGACTATGGCTATGTTCAGACTGCAGCCTGAAGTGACCCAAATCAGATTTTTTGGCCCCTATGTGACCTGTATCTGATCTTTTAATGACAGTCTGAACGACACAGATCAGATTTTTTCAAATGCGACCCAGGCCACTTGGATATGTGCTCCTAAAACCTGATACATATCTGATCTTTTGACATGCGACTTCAGTCTGAATGGCCAAAGCGCATTCATCAAACCTACGCGTTATCAACAAGTCACAAACGTCACTATTCTGTGCTGAAGTAGGCGAAAATTGTTAATGAACTCCGTGTCACTGAAGCGAAGCACATCACCACTCACCACTCTTGGCTATATCTCTGCATCCACACTTTCCTTTCAACGGACGTCACTGCCGCTGTCCCACAAAACACCACGGCCAAAAACCTCGTCCTTCTCCTTCTCAATCTCCTCCTTAAAACAAGTAAGTTGTTCATGTTCTGGCTCTGGTACGAGAGGAACTTTAAAATCTCCAGGTGCTCAATGCTCGCGTCCATGTTTGGACAACTTCCGTAAACACAGAGCACGCTCGCTGCGCTTGACATCGTCATGTCCTCCAGTGCGCATCCGGGACACTTTTGGGCCGTTTAATGTTCACACTGGAGTCACATACAAGTCGCATTTAATTGGAAATGTGAACGACCTCGCAGAAACATCGGATTTCACAAAAAAAACGAATTGAGCGTTAAGCCCTGTAGTCTGAATGTAGCCTATGAGTACTTGTAACCTACTGTAATCTGTTACTAGATTTGTTTTTACATTTTCCTTTTTTTAAGCTTTAATTTCACAGTCACTTTATTTGTATATTTATTTGCATACAAAAACAAATCTCCATACAAAGTGGTTGTGGTTTCCTTCAGGATCTGCACTAACAGCCTCAATAGCCATTTGCTTCTGTTACCACATCTTGTGTGTCTTGCCCCGGCCCATTAACTTGCCTGATAGTTTCTCTCTCCCCTCACCTCATTTAGCTGCTGTTATCGTCCTGTCCTCCCCATCACTTAGCCTATTTCACTGCTAATTCACTCTCCTCCTGTTCATGGGTATCTGCTTCCTGTTTATAGGTGCCATTTTGACGACTTTTTCACATTCAAATTACTTAATATTTTGTATGTCAACAATGCCAATCAAAAACCCTTGGATAGATTGAGTTTGTGTGAATTTACAACGTTCTAGTTTAAAATTGAGCTGGAGGACTCGTCAGAATAATGTATAATTTGCTGTTGAACTCTCAAATTGCAGATATTTCATTTGTTTTTTGTTAATAATCAAATTACTGCATTTATTCACATGAAACAAAAACTGTCCCAAAGATTAAAAAGTATTTTCTTAATAATACCGGCCATTAAGTTACATAAAAAAGGCTCAAAAACAGTATCAAAAAGCAGGTTGTTAAGGTATTGGTATAGGAAAATTTAGAAAAAGAAAAGAAAAGAAATGGCCCTGTCTTTCAAGCAGTAATTTTCTCATAGTGTTACATTGGTTGCATTCATGTTCTAGAAATTATGTCATTATTCCAGATGTAGGGGGTCTAATTAACTGAATGGGAGATGTGCTGTTTTTGCAGGAAATATCCAAACTGAAAAATCTTGAACCTTAATCATTATTTGTTAGGGATTGGCTCCACAAACTTGTCATATTAATATGTTTATTAACAATTTTAAGTGACAAAAATCATGTTTTTGGGGTTGAATAATGGCGTTTATGAAAACAATTTCACTTTTGTTTATTTATGCTGACAGAGGAGATTGAACTTTGTGCCAGTTTTGTTCCATGTGGATAGGCTCACTAATTAAAGAGATATTGGCCATAAACCAGGCCAACAAATCTGCAAGAGTGTAACAAAGTACAAAAGTAAAAGTATAATATTTAAGTATAATTTTAGGTATTTGTACTAAGTAAAATACAGTGGATACTTTTAACTTGAGAGCGGTTATCTGTACTGTCTACTCCACTACATTAATTTAAAACAAAGTACTTTTCATTGTGGTTTGAGACTTGCTGAAATGGGTGACACTTATTTTTAAAAGAAAATTAAAAAAATGCATAGCACACTGAGATGTTTAACGTTAAATAATGTTTCAGCAAAAAAGCCTTTGTCAGATCATTTTTCTTGCTTTGGACCACAGTATGGCAAAGCAAGAAAAATTATCTGACGAAGGCTTTTTTCCAAAACATTAATAAAAAAAAAAAAAAAGCTTTTGGACATCGGCCATCTGAGTGTGCTATGCGTTTTTCACTTTTATTTTACTGTTCCTTGCATTTGCATCTCTACAAGAACCTTGTGTGTGTGTTTCCTGTTTCATTTGCCACTTATTTTTATCACATTTAACATCCTTTAACGTTACCATCCTGACTTTGGCAATGCAAATGCACAAATACACAACAACTGCTAGAAAAAATAAGAAGTCAATTGATCACATTTGATACTTTAAATATTCTCTGTAAAATACTTATTTTTTTTACTCTTAAAGTGTAAACAGGTACTTCAGTGGTTTTATCTAAGTAGATTTTTTTTTCATGTGATACTTGAGTGATCTTTTGCCCCCTGTATTTTTACTTAAAGGTGCACTGTGTAACTTTTCTGGTGGAGGGTCTGCCACCTGTTTTCTCCATGGGGATATTTTAAACTTATCTATCTCCATGGCGACAAGCAGGTGACACATTTTACAGGTCAGATCTGTGGAGAGGCTAGAGCATCCACACTGAGGACTGTTTTTTAAAAGTTTTGTTTACCTGTAATTCAAAAAGAGCAAGACAGAAACGTTTAATGCCATACAGTGGAACATCCCAAGCAAAGACATAACATCGACAACCAGAAAAGTTACATAATGTACCTTAACACCTTAAGTAACAAAATGTAGTACTTCATCCACCACTTTCATCAGTTAACCCCAGCCCTGAAATTATGACACCATCAAATAATAGATAGAAAATAAAGTATGTGCCTCCTCCTCTGACTCTCCTCTGTGTGCAGGTGATCTACTATGAGATCGGCTTCGTGGTGTGTGCCGCCCTGGGCCTCCTCTTCACCGTCCTGGTTCCGTTGGTGGGCCTGTTCTTCTGCCTGTGCCGGTGCTGTGATAACTGTGGAGGAGAGATGCACCAGAGGCAGAGGAAGAACGCAGACTGCAGGAGGGGGGTGCTGGGGACCCTCCTCTTCTCCACCTCGCTGGTCATCACGTGAGTAATGAGGGGCGGCAAGCTTTTAGACGTTTAATTGGTTATTGGGCGATAGAAAAGAAATGATTGTTTATGCACCATAACAAAAAAGAAGGTATGGGGTGAGATAGCTTTGTCTTGGTTTGCTGGAAATGTATGGTAAAAAAAGCAGGTGCAAGTAGTTACATTAATGTTGTCAAAATGAAGAAATTATTGTTATTAAAACATTTTTTTTTTATTAGTTAATTTTAATGAATTGATTTCACTACTGATGCTGGCCCCAAATAAATATTTTTGACCCTGATAGAAAGAATAATGCATTGGATTTATATTATTTATATAACATTTACCCTGTATTATTCATTCACTTGACACTGATGAAAAACTATCGTACTTTCCGGACTATTGCGGGCACCTGAATAGACACCGCATCAACAAAATTTTAACTTAATTTTAAACTTGTACATATATAGGCTGCACCTGAATATAAGCCGCAGGTGTCCACATCTTCAAGAATGTTTTCAAGTTCGGGCCGTCTGCTTTTATCGCCTCTGAAAGCTTTTGTCGTCTGTTTGCATTGAGTCAGTTCGTCACGCTGCCGTCGCCAAAATCTCATAGTCAACTCATTGATGCCGAGCTCACGTGCAGCAGCTCTATTTCCTTCTTCGACATTCACATCCATTGCCTTTAACTTAAAAGCTACATCATCTGTATTTTCCATGAGGAGGGTGTGTGTATGAAGCGCAAAATAACTGTTCAAAACAAGCATCTTCCCTGGCACATCACCCCCATCTCTCCCCGGGCTCTACGGCACATGTCTCCTGCAGAAAGAGCCGCTGTCCTGTCTGTATCATGTCAGTGTCTTGTAGGATTTCAGTAGATTTCAGGCTCACCTGTATTTAACGCATATGGGTCATTAAGCTGTATCCCACTCACTAATGTTCATTTAGCATCATAACTTATTTTATCACACGACGATAAACTGTTGGAGTGTGCTGACAATATCGCTAGGCAGTGTTGCAACTTCATGTTAACCTTAATCCATGTGTTACCTGCACAGACAGCAGCATTTTCTACACTCAGGCTGCGTGTGCATCTGCTGTGTTGCCAAACCATAGCCCGTATATATGAATGGACAAAGTGCCAAACAAATAATCTGTCCATGTACTAGCCGCATTGTTTTATTAGCCTCAAGGTTCAAAATGTGAGAGAAAAGTAGCGGCTTTTAGTAGCCACAGCTGCCATGGGGTAGACTCACAGAAGCGAGGTTGCCAATCTGCACCATGCATCTCTCTGACCAACTCTCACACACACCACATTCAAATTAGGCGATATGGGTGAAGTATCTTGCCTAAGGACACAACAACAGTTTCTACTAGAGCCACTGCTGCTCCACTTCTAGAGATCAGGAATTGAGAAGCAGGTATAGCCACCCTGGTTATGAGCTGTATCATTAAATCATCAATTCCTCTATATTAAGCTAATATAAATATTTAGTTTTAATAACACACTCTAGTTTTATCGTACTGGCATTTAAAATCAGCTGTATCTCCCTCACATTTGCCTCTTCATGCCCAGTGCACATGTCCAGGCTGTGTACTACTCCTCTGGTCATCTTCTGAGTCGGAACGCATCATCCCCCCCTCCCCCAAACACGCTCACCCGCTCAGGCTATTTATAGGCAAACTCTACACTGGATGTGATGTTATGGACGACTGCACCGGTCACATTTATCTCCACGAAATTAGCACCCATTTTCAGTCACTTACAGAACTGATCAAGCCAGAAAAATATGCATAAGCTGTATTCAGTTTGTAAAGATTAGAGATGTCACATTATTATTACAGTTTTAAAGGTGCACTATGTCACTTTTCTGGCACTGACACAGAGAATCTATCAAGCCTTTATTTTCTGAGGTGCTCTTTATTTTTTCAGGTGTTCGTATTGTTCAAAATTACATTGAAGGGTAGGTGTTGCCTCTCCACAGATCTGACCTATAACTCGGTATAACACCTGGTTGCCTCCATGGAGTTTAATGCCATACTGTGGAGCATTACAGGCAAAGCAAGGAACCATTTTCCATACAAGCAGGTGGCGGACAATCTCCAGAAAAGGTGCAAAAGTAGTTGGTAGTGTTTGTCCACTGATCTGAAGGTTGGCGGTTCGAATCCCCCTCTCGACATTAAACATCAACAGCTCTCACAGATGAATGCTATAGTAGCTGTGTCCTTGAACAAGACACTTAACCAACCTGTGTGTGAGTGTGTGAGTGTGTGAGTACCGTATTTTTCGGACAATAAGTCACTCTGGAGTATAAGTTGCACCAGCCAAAAAATGCACAATGAAGAAGATAAAAACATATATAAGTCACCCCGGACTATAAGTCGCACTTTTTAGAGAAATGTACTTTGTAAAATCAGAGACCAGGAACCAACATTTCATCTTGAAAGGCAAGTTATAGTAATAACAACAGAATATGTTAACTGTTAATATGTTAATGTGTATGTAATTGAATTCATCCTCTGCGTCACTTCTGTTCCTCTGGAGATAAACCATAGATCCATGATGTAAACAGAGCGCTGCTTCCTCTTCTGTGTAGCTGTTGTCAGACTCATCATCAGTTCCAGTTAGAATTATTCCGGCCTTTCTGAATCCCAACAGGATGGTTTTGGTTGTCACTGAAGTTCAGACTTTGTTGATTCATCCAGTGACTTCCAGGAAAGTTACATGGCGCACCCTCCCACCTTCTCCACTTTTTTCCGCCAGTCAATCACAAGTTTCTCGATCACTCCAAACTTTATTTCTGCTGCTCGATTACCATTTTTCAGCAGAATATTTCACTATTTGCAGCGAGACAGCGGCTATTTTTACAGGAGACATGCGCAGTAGAGTGCGAAGTGACAGTGGTACAGGAGTAACAGGAGCAGATACTGACACACAAGCCTAGAGCACCCTCTCGCGGCTTCAGTGTGAAAATTTTAATATATAAGTCACACTGGAGTATAAGTTGCAGGACCACCCATACCATGAAAAAAAGTGTGACTTATAGTCCAAAAAATATAGTATGTGTGTGAATGAGTGAGTGGTTCCTTATTGTAAAAAGCTTTGAGTGCATTGAAGGTGGAAAAGCGCTACCAAATTTACTCAATGCACTTTTAATTTTAAGGTGCAGTACTTAATACGTTCTTATGGGGCTTCTGTATGGACTAAGAAAGCTTTCAGAAATATTTGTGTGCATAGGATATCTGCATATTTGGGAAATCTGTGCACATTTGTCTGTAGTTGAGCACAAAATAAATATTTGTAAACTCTCAAATGAGTCCAGTCGTACATAAAATGTATTGTGTGTATGTTTTATCCATCAGAATATGAATTGAAAAGTTACGACATCAAGAATTACAATCACGAAATGAAAATTTACGATTATGCTTTCTTCAGTACAAATACAAATTCACGGATATGGCTCTACTGTCAAAAATACAAATACAAATACACAGGCATTATTTATTGAGCAGAAGAAACATTGATCGAGATGCCAGACTTTTATCCCGCATACGGACTAAACCAGGACTGAACCAAGACTACACCAGGACTAACACAAATATTTCTGAAAGCTTTCTTACTCCATACTTCTGACATTGGAGACATGCTTCTAATGAATTTCACAGATAAATATACAGTTCAATCAGTATTGTCGTATGTCAAAATAATCAGGACTGTAAAAATGGATCTGGTGTTTATAGTTGCCATGTCAGTTATAAAAACAGCCCATTTTTTTATTAGCTCATACTTTCAGTCCACAGTAACAATAATCATCCATGTTGTATATTAGATATGCCGATTTATCAGGCCGATATCTGCACTTTTGGCTAATATTTTGTTTTGGCCATCCAGCTACATAAAGAATATGCATAAAGCTTTATTTGAACTTTATTTGAACATAATGATACTATACAGATTGCTTAAAGATTTATGATGACAGAGGCCTGTGGGTGACTTGAAATTACAGAAATTGGGGAAAATAAGCAAAATCTCCTTACATTCCTTACATATCAGCCCAAAAATATCTTCAGATCTTATCGGATCTTGTCCTCTGAATTATTAAGAGTTGGTATCGTCCATTCAAAAACTCATATCTGTCAATCTCTAGTATATATTACATTGCGCGGAGCACTGTTGCTGTTGTGCTTGGAAGATAAATAGCAACTGGATAAGACATAATCTGCTCTATGGATATTACGTAACTTTGAAAAGTAAAGAGGCTGGTTTAGTCAAGCTTTCATGACCTAACTTTGAGAAGCTCTATATTTGAATACCAAATGACCAAAAACACATTCTAGCTTTTAATTTTTTTCTTATCTTTTAAAAAAAAAGTTAGATGTATTTGCTTTTTTTAAACAGATATTCGTCATCTTACTTAAAATTTCCTCTTGACAAGGTTGACAAAACCATAAAACGTCCGACCACTATTGCAGAAATGCTTCCAGTATTACTGTGAAACCGTGCTCTTGTGGTTTCATTAGAGGATAACAGATGAGCGCAGACTTGGCCAAAAGCTGCATCTCTGGCTTTTACAACATTATTACATTTTCCTCTTTCCTCTCCAAACTCCTCTCCCCAAAGTGAATACAAAGACACTAAAAAAGTAGCCAGTTTTTTCATGTAATAATGTAATATTTATTTTCCCCCAGTATAGTTCCTGTATTGTAAAAACAGCTCTAAGGCGGGTCATCTGCATTTGCTTTATAAAGTATTTTTTATTTTCTTTGAACCAGGAAGTTCTTCTTGTACAGCGTAGTTGTTGTGAGCAGTGAGCAATAAGAAAGAAAGTGAGGAATAAGTCTTTAAGTATCAGTTTAAGACACTGTGCATCCAGAAGACTGTAAGATATAGATAGATAGATTTGAGACACTTAAATCTATCAGAAAATGACTTAAAAGTAGTGAAATTATCTGTCCATGCAGCAAGATAATTTTACTTGACAAGTTATCTTAAAATAAACTACCTCTAGACTAGAATTA